CAGCCACAAGGTCGCCTCTTAACCTTCTCTTGCGGAGGCTGAAGAGGTCCGGGTGCCCCAGTCTCTCCTCATAGGGCTTGGCCTGCAACCCCTTAACCATACGTGTGGCCCTTCTCTGGACCCTCTCCAGGTTATCCACATCCCTCTTGAAGTGTGACGCCCAAAACTGCACGCAGTACTCCAACTGCGGTCTGACCAGCGCCCGATAGAGGGGAAGTATCACCTCCTTGGTTCTGTTCGTCATGCATCTGCTGATGCATGATAAAGTGCAGTTAGCTTTGCTGATAACTTCACCACACTAATAACTCATGTTTATCTTGGAGTCCACTAGGACTCTGAGATCCCTTTCCGCTTCTGTGCTACCAAGCAGGTCATTTCCTAGGCAGTAGGTGTGCTGGACATTTTTCCTCCTTAGGTGCAGCACTTTGCATTTCTCCTTGTTGAATTGCATTCTGTTGTTTTCTGCCCACTTGTCCAACCTGTCCAGGTCTGCCTGTAGTTGTTCCCTGCCCTCCGGCGTGTCCACTTCTCCCCACAGTTTTGTGTCATCCACAAACTTGGACAGGTACACTTCACTCCCTCGTCCAAGTCACTGATGAAGACATTGAAGAGTATCGGTCCAAGGACTGAGCCCTGCAGGACCCCACTGCTCACGCCCTTCCAGGTCGATACCGACCCATCCACCATCACTCTCTGGGTACGACCCTCTAGCCAATTTGTCACCCACCGGACTGTGTAGTCATCCAAGTCACAGCCTCTTAATTTGTTCACCAGTATGGGGTGGGATACCATATCGCAGGCCTTCCTGAAGTCTAAGAAAACTATATCTACCCCTACTCTTGTGTCCAGGTGTTTTGTAACTTGGTCATAAAAAGAGACCAGATTAGTCGGGCATTATCATAATTTTTCCTGCTGGGCTCTCACATATATGAGCCTTAATAATCTTTTCAAAGATTTTGCCAAGGATGTACATCTATAGACTGCAAACCTTCAACTCTATGCTGAAGATCTTTGATAATACTAATAATACTGGCCATATTTGTAAAGAGCTTGAACTATATAAGCCTGCCCCAACTTATGAGAAAAGAAGGTACCAGGAGGAAATGAATTCAGCCACACACACACACACACACACACACTCTCTCTCTAAATCTAGCCTGGTGACTATATATATATAAATATATATATATATATATATATAAAATATCTGTGTCTAGGAGGAATTGAGCTTTTTAACAGTTGAACACTTAGTAAGTGAAGAGTTATATTGCTATCACAGGGGGAAAATACTGTAATAAATTTCTTTCCCTCCTTGGCTACCATCCTCTCTCCTTCCTTTTTTGTATTTTGAGTTCATTATGAAAGTTTATTATTTCATTCTTCCTAAAACTAGATTCTGGTTACCATTCCTGTGAATGTTTAGTGATTGTGAAAGGTCCTTGTAGCATTCTTCTCCCAGCTGGTCTTTTATAAATAAACCCAATTCCACCTAGACTAGCTGGAAAAGCTTTCAGATAAATACAATTGCAATAAAATTTTCACAGTAAGGCCTTCTTTTTACCCCATGGATATCACTGCTGGAGTGAAGTTTCCCAACCCTTCACCTACTTTTGGAGGCAGAATCATTCTCCATAGCCTAAGAGAAGTTGACCAGCAACATCCCCTTCTTATGGTATTTCCCATGTTACAATGGATGAGATAGATTGCATGCTGTTCTTCTTCCCAGAATTTGTCTGATAATTTGAGAGAGGAGCCTT